CTCCACTTGGGCTTAACGGGCCCATACTGGAGTAGGGTCGGAGCGTCCAACGCTCGGTACTGGGGGCACCAACTGTCAAAGGACTTTTCTAGTACCTCAATGTGAGCACTCGTTTTAATTTTTCCGTTTCCTTTGACTGCCGGAGGGTCTCCACTAACGCAAAAGACCTCCTGTCATTCGGGCTCATCGTTTCTGTTGAGCCCATCTTCCTCTGACCGAATTAGGCCCTCTTGCTGATATAGAATGCCCTATTAGGCACTGTAGGCCCCTGAACAATACAGGAGCCCAGCCATTGTAAATCGTGGGCCCGGCTTTGTCCCTGCTTGCGAAATGAGCCTCTAGAGCTCAGACAAACACGGAAGCGGTTGTTCGTTGTTTGTGATCTCTGGTCTAAATAGAGGAACGCTCTGTCTCAGGGGTCCCTATTGGTGCAAGAGATAATCTTACTGACATTTGAGATTACAGCCCTGTGGACGGGGTCCTTAATGTGACCTACAGCCAGCCGCTCGGGCTCCTGAGCCATCCCTTGATCTTTGGTCTCGAGAGACCCTTCGGGTTCTCTTCGGGCCCCCTCAAACACCGTTCCGACTCGGGGCCACTTGCCGCCACAGGTCGGCGTTGTGGCACCTAACCGACACAGGAGTCCCTCATTGCGCCAGGGACGCCGGATATTTCAGATTGCTGACCCCGGCCTCCTCTCTGCTTGGGTAAAGGGTCTCAGGGGCTTAGACGGACATGGAGACGACTGTTCGGTGTTCGTGATCTCTGACCGACTTATACACCCGCATCGTCTCAGGGGTTCCTCAAACGTTGCAAGAAGATCACTGACTGATATTTCAAGTCTCTACCTTTCGGGCTGCGATTTTTTATGTGACCTACAGCCAGTACTTCGGTTCGTTATGCCCTCCTACCTGGCCTTTGATCGTCGGCTCCGGTGGGCCCCTCTTCGGGCCTCATCAAACAATGTCTTTGGTCGGCGCGGGGCCCCTTGTAAGCACAGAATCCTCTGTAAGACGCTGTGGGCCCCTAACAGGCCCCGACCAGTGTAAATTACTGGCCCCAGCTTTGTAGCTGATTGGTAAGTGGGCCTTCAGGCCCACACCGATTCGGAACCAACTGTGTGGTGCTGGTGGTGCCTGGCTCACATATAGGTTCATATCGACTCAGGAGTTCCCGATCGGCGCAAAGGATCCTCTGACCGTTATTTGGGCGTTCGTTTTCGCAGGTCGGGTCCCTGTTCAAGACTCTGACCAGCTCTTTATGCCCTTACACCGTCCAATCGGGCCCTCGATCGTCGGCCCTGTGGGACACTGCAAAGTAGTGGGCAGTGATTTACACTGGTCGGGGCCCCTGCATCTTTTAGGAGCCAACAATGCCTAGCAGGGATCTTGTTTTTGCAAGGGGCCTCGAGCCGCCCAAGGACAGTGGTCAATGAGGCCCGAAGAGGGCCCGAGCGGCCCACCGGAACCGATGATCAAGGGCCCGATGGGAGGGCATGAGAGCCCAAAGGGCTGGCCGTAGGTCACATCAAGAACTGCGACTCGTCGCGACCTGAAATATCAATCAGAGGCTCTCTTGTATTGTTTGGGGACCCCGAGACAATACGGGTGCCTTAGTCGGCCAAAGACCACCAACATCTAACAGTTGGCTCCCTGTCAATCTGAATCGTGGGGCCCATTTTCCAATCAGGAGTAAGGCGGGAGGCCACCATTTGCATTGGTCTGGGTCCCTAAAACAGTTTTCCGGGCCCCTATATCCGCCAATAGTGGCTAACAGGTGTCATGTGTGGGCTAGTGGCCTCTAGTCGATCACAGGTTTTGTTTGAGGAGGTCCGAAAAGGGCTAGAGGGGTCCGTCGAGACTGAAGGTCAGGGGCCTGAATGGAATGCTGAGGAGCCCGAAGAGCTGGCCGCAGGTCACAATAATAACGCCCCCCTCGCCACTCCCCCACTGGTGATACCGTGATGTCAATTTCAGTCAGAGGGCCTCTTGCATCGATTGGGGGAGAGCACCAATACCGAACAGTCGGCTGCTCTCGGTCTGAGCCCTGGGGATCCATTTCCCAAGCGCGAGCAAGGGACTTGCATCAGCCGGGGTCGCTGGAACCATGAGGGTGTCGGTCAGGTGTTCACAGTGCCTAACAGGGGGTGCTGTATCGGCAAGTGGCCCCGGTCGCTAGAATCCGTCTTTGCGGGGGTCCCAAGACTGGCCCAAATGATCCTTCTGGACCAACGATCAAGGACCTGGTCAGACCAGGGCCCGGCCCCATCCACATTGTCGTGACGTGAAATATCAGTGAGATGGTATCCATCAGGGCCCTATTATTAGGGTTTGATATCCATATTTTAGAGGACCTCGACACGGAGCCAAACAGTCGGTTCCATGTCTACCTGAGCCCTTGGGACATATTTTCCAAGCAGGAACAAGGCCGGGGCCCGTGATTTGCAATGTTCAGGGTCCCTGACACAATGAGGGGCTCCCGCGCCGGTCAGAGGCCACGGTGCCTAACATGGGTCCTGCAGTGGCACGTGTCTCCGAGTCGGGCTGGGGGGGGGGGGGGGGGGTGATGGGCTCAATCAGGAGCCGAAGGGTCTTTGAAGACCAAAGACTGAAAGACTGAAGTGCCTGAAGGGATGACTGTAGGTCACATCAAGAACCTCCGCCCGCAGGATTCTGATCTCAAATGTCGATTAGATGGCCTCTTGCACTGATGGGGACTCCCTGAGACAGAGCGTTTCTCTATTTCGGCTAGAGACCACCAACACTTAACAGTCCGCTCCGTATCGGTCTGAGCTCTGGGAGCCATTTTCCAAGCTGTGAAAAGGCCGGTCCCGCGATGGGCATTGGTCGGGGCCCCTGCAACAATGCGTGGCTTCCGTATCGGTCAGGGGCCCACAATGCCTAATAGGGTGTCCTGTGTCAACCAGGGCCTCGAATCGATCAAGGGATCGTTCGCTGAACAGGAACGGGACGGGATCCCAAATGCCAGAGGACCTCTTGCGTTGACTGAGGCCCAAATATGAGAACATATGATGAGAGGTGATGTTAATATAGTGGAAGGACTCTGTGTCAGTCAGTCCCCCCCCCCCCCCCCCCCCCCAGTACCGAACGGTGTGTCCTCCAGCTCAATGCCAGCCGTAGGACCGTTAAACCAACCTGGAGTCAATCAACAATTATAGGACCACGTGCGGCGATTAGGAACCTTGTTGCGACAATAAGGGTCCCTACGTCGATCTAGGGCCAACTGTATGGGCCAAAAGGCCTCTCGCGCCAGGGAGGGACCAATGTGGCATGATGTATCTCTCTAAGGTCCTCTAGTTCGACCAGGATATCCTGTCCCTTGTCACCGGAGTGACAGGCGAAAGGCACCCGCCGTGGGATGGAAAGGCCTTTCAGCCCTGGGAGACCAGACGCCGAGCCTTAGCCAGCGCAGGGACCCCTCTGCAGGGACCCCTCGGCAGGGACCCCCTGCAGGGACCCCTCTGCAGGGACCCCCTGCAGGGACCCCTCCGCAGGGACCCCTCTGCAGGGACACCTCTGTAGGGACCCCTCTGCAGGGACCCCTCCGCAGGGACCCCCTGCAGAGACCCCTCTGCAGGGACCCCTCTGCAGCAGGGACCCCTCTGCCGGGACCTCTCTGCATGGGTCCCTGCGCTGGCGCCCCCCCCCCCCCCCCCACGGCCTCTCGACCCACTTGTGGCTGGCGCTTACAGGCTGCCCTGGACAAGCGGGGCGTTGCGAGGATGCAGCATGGAAGAAGAAGTAGGATTAGAGGGGCGGATGTGCTCGAACACGCAATCTCGTCTTGCGCTACATAATACATACACGAAGTTGAACACGGTTGTTAGTTATCACATAAATTATACTTGTAATCGAGTAAGCTAAGAATAGCGCCATAACCAAGCATGTGAATACAGGTAAACACCTTAAACTCATGAATGAATGTGCAAGACCACCGCAACAAAGGGTCAAAACACGAGCACATGACGATATTGGGCTCAACAAGCGCCGCTAGTACCGCCGCGGCGCCACGGTGCCCTCCCGGGTGATTGAAGTGATGCAAGTGTATGCTAGTTGCATGGAAGGACTACGCACGGCTCATTTATTTCACCTCAACGTCGCACAAAGATTCCATGATGCTATCAAACAGTGACGTATTAAGGAGCAGTGACCAATTAAATAGACAAATTATGCAGTCAGAGCAGTCGTTTCCACTTAATTGCATACTAATGGTAAAAAGTGAGCAAGCACGTTTCATCATATCTGGTGCTTGCTTAAAGGGAGTGTTCCACATTTATGTGGAGTTTTGAACTGAAAGTCATCTTGAAGGTCTTTTGGTGCCGTTCAAAATCCTGCTCTTTGTATGGCCCACACCCCTCTATTTGCTGATCTATACGCCCGCGAAAATGACGAGGTGTATCGGGGTCATAATGTCAAAGTAACCTCGGCATTCACGTCATAATAACGCCATTAAATCCTGTCATTCCACAAGCCATACGGCGAACAGTGCCAATAAAAATATAATGGTTGCGTCACCCATATCCGACGTTGGTGAGCGCGATGTCCGCATGCCACGTCAATTGGCTTTTAATCAACGCCGCGCGAGGTACGATGACGTGATCAAATAATGAATGCATTGAGAAGCATATTTACTTCACAGATAAATTGTGCCGTCTAGGGCAGTCTTTTCCACTTAAAAGGTGCCAATAGTTACCAATACTTATAGACCGCCAATATTGTAAATGCTCGGGGTCGCAAAGCCAACGACCCTGGCCCAGGCCCATGCGCCAGAGGCGTCCCTTGCGTTGGCAACACTTCGTAGGAACCGATGCAGGGCAAACATCGTCTACGCTTTCACTGCAGGAGTTGCTTTCAAACGATCATTGACACGGAGTTGGCCAATAGGGAAATGGATCTACGACGACAGTGTGACAAATCGCACGACCGAGAAGCCACAAAAATGCACATTTTTGCGGCCGGTCCCCACTGAAATAGACGAACGTCAGTCAACCGGTATATTAACAGAATACAAACAAAGAACAGGCCATTACGGCTCAACATGTTCTTTCTTTGGCGTCGAAACGGTGAACGCTGTGCTGCCTATTATCAAGCAGAATGGGCAAAGAGGAACAATCTAGCGCCAAAACTCGAGTCACTTTATTACAGATGCATCGCAGCAGGTGCCCATTCAGAGGCAAATTAGGCGAACGACAGAAAACTGAGCAGCGCCAGCCGACCGTTACGAAAGAAGCGCACGAGTCCCGGCGAAAGCGAACCACGTGGTCACTCATCGTAATTGAATTGATTTGTGTTAGACAGAGTGCGGCGATCGCTGCTGTGATTTCGCCCGTCATCCCAACATCCGCCGGCAGGCTAACAGCTGGCCCGCGGACACAGACACCACTGCCCCGAATGGGTCCCCGCCGGCAAGCTGATGGCTGGCCCGCGGACACAGACACCATTACCCCGAACGGGTCCCCGCCGGGAGCGTCGCCGCCAGCCCGGCGCCCTCGCATAACACGGACTGTTAACTGATAGCACACACAGAAGCCGAACCGGGCCGACCCGCCACGCATACCGTACTCAGATTGAGCCGACGCATGTTACGAATGCCACAATTCGGTCTGAACACGTGTCGGCGTCGGTCTCAGCCGGGGCCGCGAGTCGGCTGCGCAGGCAGCTTGATTGCCCTCGATAGACGGGTGGCCTGCTGGCGGCCGGCGGCGGACTGCGCGGCACGCGGCCGACCCGGCTGTCCCCCGTCCACTGCCCCGCCTCGCCCTGCAGCAGCTATCACACAGGCCGCCGCCGAGCCGACTGGCGCGGAGCACAGCCGCCGCCCTCCATCCGACCGGTGCCCACCGGACTAGCGGCGCGCTGTTTGTACACACTAAGGCAGAACAGCGCCCGGCGGGAGGGCACACTTCTCCGCGCACGGCTCACGGTCGGCCCGCGCAGGGTCGCGGCACACCCGGCGCCGTCAGCAGCACGTCCGCCGAGCCGTCCACGTCTGCCCGACCCCCGGACTGGCCGGCAGCACGGGATGCCGGCACAGCTACCCACCGGGTCCGCGACGCCAGTCCGCGCCACCCAGCCGATGCCGTCGCACATACCAAAGACAGACCACACACAGCCATCGGCCGGCCGGTCGGCCGCGACCGTTCTAGTCGCCGGCGGCTGGCTGAATGTCCACGTGGATTTTGAGGCCGCGTTCGCGGCGCGGCGCGGCCGCCGCCGAGCCGGAGGAGCCGAGCGCCGAGCCGAGCGCCGAACGCGCCTGCAGCCGAGCCGTCTCGCGCTGGCTGATCTCGCGCCGCTGCTGCTCGTTCAGCTCGGCCAGGGGCTCGGTGCCATCTTTGTAGTAGAGCACGTAGCCGTCCTCCAGGATGTTGAGCGGCCAGACATCCAGCGCTGCGACAAAGCCGGGGTCGGGGCGGCCGTCAGAGGGCGCCGCAGGTAGGTGGATACGCGAGCAGAGCCACAAAACCGGCGTCACAGCCCTCAAAGCTCTCCACAGCGGGCGGACGGGGGATAGTTTTTACCTATCATCAAACGGTGGAAGACGGAGACGCAATGAAAACTGCAGTCGCATGCGCTGAGTATACGACAACAATTATTCGAGGAACTGAATTTCTTGAGGACAGCACACCAGCCCCCTATCCCCACTGCCGCGTTTATTCCCAAATCGCTCGCAGATTTGGGAGCCCCACCCGCCTCTCGGAGACCGCCGAACCTTTTTTACCTCCCGCCAGCGCTCACCGGTGACATTCTGCAGCCAGTCAAGCTCGGTGGGCGCCAGCAGCGCGTTAAAGTCGTTGGGGAAGCTGCCGGGCGGCTTGGCCAGTCGGATGTTGTCGGGTGACAGGCTAGCGTGCTGGCCCAGCGCCCCAAGCAGGGCCGCCGCCGACGACTCCGGCAGCACCAGCTCGTGCATGTCGTCCAACTGGTAGGTACTGGGGTGGAAGCGACGGCAGAAGAGCGCCAGCTGGCCGTGCCGTTGCACCTGCTCCGGCTCCGGCAGCTCCTGCCACCGCCGGCAGACGATCAGCGCCAGCCGGCTACATCCCCGCCACGGGCTCATGGGCTTACGAACCTAACGTGAAATATACAGCAAACGGTACGAGCATTTCTCACTACATCGACCATAGCAGTTTGATCGGGAAAATATAAAACAGATCGTACATGTATTGATTAACGGGAACCACTTTTTATTCCAGCACGTGCCCAGTCATTGATAGAAACAATGACAGGAATGAAGATGAGTTTCATGCCTAATCTGGACATAATATGTTTCAAAACTCAGCAACAAAAGCCTGCAAAAAAATCACAGCAATCATGTCTTGTACATCTTTGGTTGATAAAATTGCACACTGCTGAGTATCTTCAGAAGAAAACAAATGTTTACGACAGGCCTAGACATGGTCGACATGTGGCTATTACTACCTGAACGAAAATCTCCCAGTTGGGATACAGAGGAACTTCTTCATCAAACTTGTATGAATCTAGGTAAATCTTGCCGGGGTTCTTCCAGCTCTTCTTCCGCAGCCGGCATCTGAAGAGCGGACACATGGACCCGGTTGTTTACGCAATTGAGCTGCTTGAGCGTGGAAGGACATTACGACATGATGAACATGAAAGTCCTGGCCACCGACAGACGCTCATCGCACGACGAACAAGTCGCTGCCATCACTCCGGAAACCTTACCGGCCCGTGGTCAGACGTTTCAGAGCCAGAGGTTTCATTCCAGGTGACAATTCGAGCGCGAGTGGTCGATGATCGGCCATAAAGCGCTCTGACCTTCAACCTGACGCTGAAGAGCTTAGGGCTAATAACTTGCATCATTACCAAAACTACAGTGGATCGCAGGTATCTAAACATAATGGAGGCCTGCCGCCTGTATTGACAGACATTTTATCATCATACACAACGCATAACATGGGCCAAGGGGAGACAGACGACGGGCGACAACGGATGCCATCCGACGGGGGCTGACCAACGGCAGGTGACAATCACCTGGACATGGGCACGTCAACGCCCAGCCGGGACTTCTGTTCGGCCAGGATCTCCTTCTTCGCTTGCTCGATGCTCATACCCTTGCGAAGAATCCACTCGAACATGAACTTGCTTGGCTGAGGGACACGGCATTTCCGTCAACTTGGGCAACAGCGGCATGATCCATCCACCTCGTTCGCTCTGGTGATGGTGACGATTAGGATTTTGGGGCGCGCCGACTAATAAGTGCATTTCGCGCCCCTCTGTGGTGTGCATACGGCACTGCCGTCCCCAGGGTGAAGCACCCGTTTGTAACTATGACACACAAGACCAAGAGGGAGTGTTTCAGAAAACAAAAGAAACCAAAGAAATGATAAGCTACCTCACCCCAAATATAGGGTTACGTACGTGCTGACTATTTACACCCATAAACAAATAAACCGGCGTAAGTAAGCAAACGCGGACTTTTGTTGTAGGCCCCGACGACCATTCCCGCCGAGACCACACCCCTCTTCGAACCCGACCAACTGTTGTTTGACAACGAGCCGGCCGTTCCAGACCAGCACCAGTGCCAGTCAGCATGCGCCGCTATGGCGAGGAGGGGTTGCCGCAATACCAGTCCACCTTCCCGGCATCGGCCGGCCCGTCCAGTCTCACCTCCGTGGCATTGGGCTCCAGCTTGTAGACCTTGCCGCGCAGCTCTCCGTCCCGCAAGCGGCGCGACAGGCGCGCCACGAATGTTACATTGTCGCCGTGCGTCATCAGCTGGTCGTCCAGCCGCGTGCACTCGAACTCCTGCGTGATGGGAGGAGTCAGCAGCCGACAGAGGGGCGGCACGGGGTGACCGACGGGGGGGGGGGGGCAGGGTTGGTCAGCAGCTGACAGAGGGGCGGCGCGAGGTAGCCGGCGGGTGGGGCAGGGTTGGTCCGCAGCCGACAGAGGGGCGGCGCGAGGTAGCCGGCGGGTGGGGCAGGGTTGGTCAGCAGCCGACAGAGGGGCGGCGCGAGGTAGCCGGCGGGTGGGGCAGGGTTGGTCAGCAGCCGACAGAGGGGCGGCGCGAGGTAGCCGGCGGGTGGGGCAGGGTTGGTCAGCAGCCGACAGAGGGGCGGCGCGAGGTAGCCGGCGGGTGGGACAGGGTTGGTCAGCAGCCGACAGAGGGGCGGCGCGAGGTAGCCGGCGGGTGGGGCAGGGTTGGTCAGCAGCCCACAGAGGGGCGGCGCGAGGTAGCCGGCGGGTGGGACAGGGTTGGTCAGCAGCCGACAGAGGGGCGGCGCGAGGTAGCCGGCGGGTGGGGCAGGGTTGGTCAGCAGCCGACAGAGGGGCGGCGCGGGATTACCGGCCGGTGGTCAGCGTGGACCATAGTGGCCAAAGCGCGCCTCCCACACCAGATGCGACAGACAGCTCCGGATAGCTGGGTGTCTGCACAGTCCGCCCAGAATCATGGGGATAACTGATGATGACAAAAGTTTTTTAACAGTATAAGCTATCGTAAATGATGTAGTTCTTAAGAATTTATCATTAGCTACAAACGCCTGTATCCGTCATGTTATGCTGACACCCAACCATCATCAAGTGATACACATTTGGAGAGGGTACCTGGTTGCTGGTGTAGATCTTGAGTATTTTGAAGTAGTCGCGGTGCACATTGATTAATGCCTCAATTTCCCTCTTAAAGCCTCCTAAGGTGATGCGATTGTCTAGGCGGACGTCCCACACTGCGAAAAAAGAAGACTGCATGACGGAGGGCACTGCTGCACACTTCCGACTCACCCGGGCCCCGATCACTTCCACATGCCAATTTGCTTGGAACTTTGCTGAACATGGTCGTGGATAATGTTTGCCCTAAAAGTGCTCCCCTTCACATCCCCTGCACAGGCTTAGGATTCGAGCGGTGCTCGGCGGGCAGCCAGGCCGCACTTCGTTGCACGCCAGCAGAGCCAATCCCCTCCCCCCCCCCCCCCCCCGCCCAACTCACGAAAGCCGTTTTCATGCGGCACAGACTTCTCGACGACGAAGTATCGCCTGACGTTGGCCGGCTCGGGCTCGGGCGCTGGCCCGGGGCCGTACACCGGCTCCGCGGCACCCTCCACTTCCACGCCCTTGTACCCCTGCGACGCAGAGTTAGACCGAGTTTGTCAGATGGTGGCAACCCGGTAAGCACTCCAGCAATGCGCACGCCCACATGAAATGCTGCGATTGCTGAAAGGTCACGACCACATTATACTGGTGTCGAACGGGGCAATAACTATCGCAAGCAAGCATGTGCTGCTCACACTCACAAATAATACATGATACCAATTTAGAGTCAGTCCGGATATGAAGGCGCGCAGTGACAGCTCATACACCAGCTTAGTTTGATCTTGCGGAGCCGACACCAGCCCCGGCGGCGAAGCTGATGTTCGTCAGCACACATGTAGGGCACAGGGCTGCGGGCAGCCGCCGGCGCTGGCGCGCACACCTCCTCCTGCGGCGAGAGCATGCTCTGGTAGTCGGAACCGGCCGGCGAGTTGCTGGGCGTGGCCGGGGGCGAGCTGGCGCGCCCCGTCGGCTGGCCGCCGATCAGGGTCCGCTCGCTGTCGGTGGCGCTGCTGTCCTCGGAGGCACTCTGATCGGAGCTGGCGCCGCCCAGCAGGTCGTCGGCCGCCGGCTCGGGACTGGCCGGCGGCGAGTCCGGCTCGGCGGCGGCCGCCAGCGCCGCCTCCTCCAGCGATGGAATGGCCAGTCTGTCCAGCGTCTCTGGCGGTGGCCGACGCGGCGTCAGGCGGCGGGCAAAACACGAGCGCGGGGTCAGATTTCGAAATATCGCGCGAAAAGACAATCTTTTGAACACGACCCAGGCCACGACGATAAAACTTTTGAATATGAACACCGACGAGCTTACTTGTTTCACATCAGCCAACACTAGAGCCAGGATAACCGTGGCACAGAGATGGAACAAAACTACAACGGCCGCATAAAACTTATACACGAGCAGCTGGTAACGAACTGACTCCTTCCATAGCAGCATTTAGAACTGTTTCAGACCACAGAGGCGAGACCAAGTGACCAGCTCACCTTGATCGGTGTTGGGCACGATCACCTGAAGACCGATCGTGTGCTCGAACCGATCGCACAATCGGAAGAACTCGGACGACGTAAACGGCACGTCCGCGTCCTCGGCGTCCTCCGACACGAATACCTGCCGTGGGGGGCCGGCAACCAATGGTCACAACAAAGTGCACTGGCAGACCGCCATGCGCGCGCGGCGGCGGGTGTGACACCACGAGAAATCACCGCTGCGGTATTTAACGGCTTTACGATAGAATGTTTGGATGTAAAGGTCAAGTGACGTCAGAGGACAGGACGGACCGTGTTGAACATTGCGGCGCATTAAATTTTCGCCACCAAATACTGCCACCGAATCGGAATTGCGTGATCGCATGATAAGGGGTCGGGGCTCGCACAACAAGCACTGTTTAGCGTGAGCTTTGATCCCAGAAATCCATTTATCCAAAGCGATTCGGAATAAATCTTTTCATAGAAAATATGTCGCAAAACATCACGGGCCTGCGGCGTTCGCTCGTGACGCGAATGCCCGTCCGCTAGCTGAATTACACGCTTGTTCTCGGGGATTTGCGAGCGCTGTTGTCCCAACCCGTCACTCCACGACCGCCGAGCTTCCACACATTACCAATGCAAACCTCCATCCACTGACTCTGCTATTCCTTTTCAAGTGCTTGTCAGCTAATGGCGCTGCGGTTTCCATGAAAACTCTCCCCAGCCACACCCTGCTGTTCCTGTGGAACTCCTCGTCACCTCTGGCCCTGCCACTGCTGTGGAAGCTCATTCCCCAGCCACTAACCCTGCTGTTCCTGTGGAAGCCCTCCAGCCTGAGCGAGCGTTCGGGGCTGAGCAGAGGCCGCAGATCGCCGCAATAGCGCGCCAGGCAGAGTCGCGCCGCCTCGGGCAGCGCCAGCGCCGCGCGCAGCTCCGCCACCGTCTGCGCCAGGTTGGCGCGCAGCGGAGTGGGTCCCGAGACGCGCCCCGTAGCCGCCGACACGCGCAGCACCTGCAGCGTCGTGTCGCCCGCCGCGTACACCTCGAACTCAGCGTCTGCCGCGCGCCAGTCCAGCATCAGGTCTAGCTTGTAGGTGCTGCGTACACCTCCCATCACTTCCTCCATGGTGCGGCCGGCCTGCTGCTCCAGACTCCCTTCGATGGCGTCGTTCAGCTCATCGTATTTGACTAGACGACACCGCGACAGCGGTACGTGCTTGTCAAACTCGAGCATCTGGGGGCGGCAGGAGGAGGTGGGACATCCAGCAAGGAACGGACCAAGTTGCATAGAAAGGACCGAGATGATAACCCACACACAAGTATGAAGGGCCGGCTCAGCACGTGCAAAACTCGTTTGATGCTCTAGTGAAAATGATGGTCCACTGATGATCCACTCAAGATGATCCACTCAAACCTGATGGTCCACTCAAGCCTGCGTACCTTCCAGCCCAGCTCAGTCGCGTCCTCCAGCAGCATGTCCTTGTGGACGTGGAACGCGGTGCTGACGGTGGTCTTGATGACCGGGTGCACACCGAACAGGGTCAGCTTGCACATGCTGCGCTCGCGCTCTTTGTTGGCGCGGTCCTCGTCCTCACCCTCACGCATGCGCGTCAACAGCTTCTGTGGCATGGCCAGACGGACGAGTCAAGCACGTAGCACGGCATCCCCTTCTCACGTCATATGCCTCCGCATGAACGCGTATTGCGCGGGGTGGGTAGCAATGGGCTGCAACAGCTTCCCTCAGTCAGCTCTTGCGGCTGAGGCGAGTTGGTGGTAACTGCTGCTAACACAGACTGGCAGAACATGGAGAGAAGAAGTAAAGCATCTTATATAACATGGACTGGAAAAAATAGTAAAATACATCACATGTTAGCATTGTTGTTTTTCAATCACAACTTAAATTTCTACATTGACAAAACTGCGCTACTACCATGGGCTGGCGAACAAAACCCATGAGCGGTCTGATATGGTGACAAACAAACATCTTTACACCAATCAGCAGACATATCCATTGCCCATCCCGTCATTTGTGAGAAAAATACTACTCGCGGTTTGGGAGTATGTCATGACCTAAACTCTAACAGCCTTGTGACTTTACTTTTTAATAAATATCTGTGTGCACTTAACGCCGGCACGCTTCGCGAAAATACAGCTGGAACAGGGAAGTACATCATTACAGGTACCAGACAGAGGAAACCTCAGGACAGGGAAGGCCAATGATCTGGTAGCCAGTACCGACACAGCGTAGGCGGCCGCGGCCTGGCCGAGTCAGACCCACCTGAATCCACTCCGGAAACTCGTCTTTTAGCAACGGCAGCTTGTTGTGCTCCTTATCGATACGTCGGTACATGAGCATATAGGCATTGGTGCTGGAAGAGTAGCTGCTAGTGCGCGTGCCGCCGCCGTAAGTCCTCCGGATGTCATCCTGGGTCACCTGCAGCCAATCCAGGTCAGGGTAGGATCTGGATTGGATCCACCGCACGAGTACGCATCTTGCCATTCATGTAGGCTCAGTACGAAAGTCGGGGAGGAGGCTGCATGGCGTGCCTAACGTTTATATCGCGAGCTGTAGTACAGATTGTTACGGCATTAATTACATCGGAGTAATGACAACCAGACGTGCACGGGGAATTCCCAGCATTACTGGATTAAGCCCAAGGCATCCCGAACATTCAAAGCACCCCTTCCCTCCCCCCCCCCCCCCCTATCAACTGCATTTGTTCTAGCAAACACATTACAGTCCTGCAGTGCCATCTCTCGTCAACCAGACATCCAGAGGCCACCACCAGCGCCCTCCGGAGCTCTACGCACCGGCGACACGGACTGGTCGTTAAAGCAGAACCACTCCTGCCTGGTGAAGTCCTTGATGTAGGCGTAGTAGTGGCCGCCGGACGCGCTGCCTGCGTGGATCATGATGGAGAACAGCTCGTACTCGTATGGGCCGCGCACCGCGTTCCGCCAGTTATTGGCACGCGTCTCGCTGTCCGTAGAGCAGTCGATACCCTCGTCCTCCTACAGCAACGGTCGGGCACAAGTGTCCGGTCACGGCGACGTGCAGACCAACCGCAACGTTGCCTTTGGCGAGACGGACATACCGACGGCTGGGTGCATATATCGCACCGTGATCGTCGCCACTCACTGAACGGCGAATAACTAGTGCAAAGCAGCTTCAATGCGATCTACGAATCTTATAGCTCCCGCCAACCGCAACGTGACAGTGAAGAAAACACCTACGCCGATTATGTCCTGACACGACAGCGTATAATTTGAGCGTGTTGTGTTGTGCAAGTGTTTGAGCGTCACTTGACAGTAACCTGGCTCATCTAAGTCCAGGAAACCTCTGACGTCAGTCTTTCAACTCTCATCTTCTTCACCCTAAAAAGTTTGAGATTTGCGTGAATGGCATTCAGCTCAAAATCGGCGGATGCCTTGAGCACTGCCGCCGCAACATAGCACGACTGCCACCTCGAGACCAGCTGAACACGAAGCGCCACATATCCCTAATGGCGGCCCGATGCGGCTCAATGTCGCTGTCGGCCGGCGCGTGCGAGCCCTGCGCGCCCACCTGTCCCACGTCGCCCTCGGCGGCCACCGGCAGATGCGTGTCGTCCTCCAGGACGGCGCCGCTGTCCGTTGTGGACGTGTCGTCGCAGCGGCAACCGTCGCCACCGTCCGCCGCCGGCACGCGCTCCACGAAACTGTTCAGGTTCAGGATCTCCGGGAACGACACCCTGCCGGCGTCCCCGGGAGCACCGTCGGAGCACGCCACAGCGGCTGCGTCCGTCACTCACCAACATGCCTCACAAACATTCGGTGACGCATCAGCCGCGCCATGCATCGGCAGGCGTCAGGCTAATCTGTGTGTCCTGTACGGCGGGAACTAGCTGGCCGATTCGCGCATCCTCGTCTCGCAGTATGCTGCATGTGGCTGAAATTTAGTCCCACTGAAAGACGTAAGTCCTCCAAGATCGCGTGTACTTAACAAAAAGAAAATCGAAATGAAGCTCACACACCATACATTGCACCAGGCAAGTTTCGAAACACGACACAAACCTGTGTTATGAATAGTGCGTCGAGTTTTCTTATTTTTGACTTGCATACGTTATCAACCATAAACATCGGATTTCACTGACCTGTCATTAAGTTTGATGCGGTGCAACGTCTGATAGTCGAAGTCGAAACGTTTGAGGTGCAGTGTTAGCAGGTACGGAAACGTCTTGAACTTGAGACCTTTGTGCGCGTCACACTTGCGTGCGCAGTTGTCGCAATGATACTGATTGTTTCCGTCTAGAATTTCCGGCTTCACGAATCCGCGCAGCGCCTCTTCCTGGAAACAGGAACGGCCGCAGTTTAGGACAAACCACACTGACTTTCCGAATCAAACATAAGACGTAGAAACCCTTCATGGAATTCGGGACTCCCAAACGACCACGCAGTTTATAGATACTTTTGTTACAATATTTGGTGTACAAAAGTGCGCCCGCATCTGACGTCTGGGACATCTTTTCCATAATTCGACCACTAAATGCACAGGCCACCATTATGCTATCATTCGTACTCAAATCTACCTCGATAAAATAGATGTCTGGCTGGGATCATTCGTGCCTAAACGAAACCTACAATAAGCCATCTCCAGATGCATATGCATAGTTCAGCCTGTCCTATTACACTGGCGGCTATTTTAGCACACTGCCGGGGTGCCGGAAGTGCAGCGGTTAGGCTGGGCGTCTGGGAGACCGAAGGAACGCAGCTCGGTTTCCTGCGGCGACCGCTCCACCTGCCAGCTGAGTCTGTCGTAAACTCCCAATAGCCATCACCGCACGTCAATCAACGTGTGAACACATGGCAGGTGGCAGCTCGTTGTGTGGAAATGTCACTCCACAACAAAAGCGCGACTTGGGGATGGTCACAAGCTCCACGCCTATCAATTTCAGAGCTGTCTGCCGCGAATGATCCGGAAGGGCGAGGGGAGGAGCTCGAGGCGCCATCGGCACGAAGTGCCCGCGGGGCCTGCCCGGGACCGGCTACAATAGTGTGTGTGTGTGGGTGAGAGGGCGAGTTCCAGGCGTCCTCCGTGTGATGGGCGCCTGCCAGGCCCGGGCCGGGCTCGGGGACGGCACACTCACCACGCTGCTGAAGGCGGACGTGGCGCCGAACAGCCGGATCGGCAGCGGGATGTCCAGGTAGGTGTCGCCGCGCGCCTTCTCCGTGCCGCATTCCAAACACTTGACGTAGTCGATCATTTTGCCTGTCGTCATGCGCACCCACACCCGTCACTGGCAGCCAATTCATAGACAAAGCCACCGCCGGCTGCATGTCACTGCCGTCACCGGCGATCCTCAGCTGGGCTTCACATGCCGAAATAGGCTGCGCCAGATAGTTGCCTCGAACCTTGCCAGATGGATTTCAACATGGAATGTCTGGAGTGGGTACTATGCCTGTGTGTAGTATGTCTTGCACATGTACTGATGCTTAAGATATTAAAAACCACCTCAGTCTACCAAAGGTGAGCTAACATGTCTTCCACGTCATATCAACGTGGAAAGTGAAACTTAAGCATTTAAGTTTGGATTCGTCGAAGTTCGACGCATGCATTTCAATGAACATGTGATTCAAGTAACATGTAACTAACAGAAAGGCAAAGTGCAATATAAGCTGAGCCATGTTTGCCAACGCAATGAGCAGAGCAGTTCCCAAGGGCTTGCCCCCCTACCCCCGCGCTGGAACATTCGGCCAGGACGGCCGCCGTCCCTGACTGACCTTCGTAGAGGCGCGAGATGAGGTCGTGCTGCTCGGTATCCTTAAACTTGACCTCGAGCGCGTCAAACATGACGCGGCAGAGCTCCTGGATGTCGTGCTGCTGCCACGCCTCGCTGCTGTCCCAGCCGAACGAGTAGGTCAGCTCGGTGGTCTCCACCGCCAGACGGTCGGTGGTCTGTGGACGGCCCCGGTCACAAGACGGTGGCGCCGGCCGCCAAACGGCCTCACGCGGCCGACTGACGCAGAGGCGGCCGCGCACGGCTCCAGGGACGCCCGAAACTCGAGCCTGATGGATCACAATCTAGCGCTCAATAAAGTTCAGCGCGTTTCCGTCCAACCAGTGCCAATGGTGGGAAGGCACACATCGCCAGATTCACAACTGAAGGCAAAATAGCTGGTAGTATTACAAATATTAGCCCGACGTGCAATGTCAATATTATCAGTCGGTCCGGACTAAGTACTCTCCACACACTCTCGCCGTGCACAGGCCCACCTGCATGTTGACAAACAACTTCTGCAGCTGGTATGGGATTGACTTGGCGGCGTCCTCGGAGGAGCCGTCATACTCCCAGCTGTACATGGCGTTCCTGAACTCGGGGGTCATGAAGAGGGTCTGCAGTAGCGAGTTCAGGTAGCAAGTCATCGCCTGGTTCACCAGGCCCACGTGACCTGCCGGCAAACGATGAACAGTCAGTCCCCGTGGCCCGCTGGTTAGCGAAGAGGCAGTTTAGGGCACTTAGCTGACCCACAGAAAGCGTACCTAGCATAAGCCACATCCACACCATACAGAACACGCCTCCCATAAACCACAAGCCCGTGACCGAGGAGACGCAACGTCCAAGAGTTCGCCGCCCCTTCTGGCACGCACCCGTCTCGTTGCTCTTGATCAGGCCGCTGGCGTACGTGTAGGGGGGTGGCTCATGGGCGGCCGGCGGCGCGTCGGCGCCTCCGTCTGCGCCGCCGGCCGCTGCCGGCGCCACGGGCGAGGTGCGTCCGGCGTGGTCGCCGCTGTCGAGGCCGCGCGCCGGCCGCGGCTTGCGGCGCGGCCTGGCGTCCGTGATGATCAAGTTGTTTCGCGACTGGCCACCCGTGTCCAGGCCCACCTCCATCACCGTGTAGTTCAGGTAGTCGTTCAGGATCAGCTGCCGCGGCGCAGTGCGGAGCGTGAGGCACGTGTCGCTCCACCGTACGGAGGTGCCGCCGGCTGGGGCTGGCCAGCGGCCAGCGGTGTGACGTTGGCCGCCAGAGCAGCGCGTGACGTCACAGCTGCCAGGACAGCTCATCTTTTGGTTGGCGAGTACTAACACCGCGCCAAAACGCCCGTGAAAACGCAGGGAATGTGGGAGGCCTGACAGTGCGGTCCAAGATCGACGTATTACCATACGTGGGCAGCGCAGGATAAAGTTGTAAGCCTCGCTGACATCTCACCAAATCAGCCTGATGCCTGGGAACAGCAAAACGTGTCCGTGTGGAAACACGTGCATAGGGACGGGTGCAAGGTACAGCCCGAGCGCGACGGCATCTTATACATGCTCCAAAGCATACTTGAAAACACAAGACATAACGACACGAACAGAATCCTCCTGTGCCCGTTGGAACACAAAGACGCGCGGTGAGAACCGGCCCGTTCTGACAGCGTGCGTGCGAGACGGCCTCTCACCGCTGGCCGGTGACACATCGGCGACAGGCACCGGTGCTCCCGCCACTCACCGCCTCGCCGCCGGCCGCCACCTGCTGCGAGATGAGGAACTCGTCCGGCGCGTACTTGGTCTGACGCGATACCTCGTCCACAAGCGTAGCCACCTTGGCCGTGCCGGCCAGGTCGATGGTCATCTTGCCGGCCAGGCAGCCCCGTGACGTCATGTCGCGCACGAAGCAGCGCGCCCAGGCGACGGGCGCGTCGTCGGCGGGCGCCTCAGGCATGGTGCCGGAGGCTCTGGAGGGAGCGGCACGCTAGTCAGCGGAAGCCGGCCGGCGCCTCAGGCATGGTGCCGGAGGCTCTGGGGGGGAGCGGCACGCTAGTCAGCGGAAGCCGGCCGGCGCCTCAGGCACGGTGCCGGAGGCTCTGGGGGGAGCAGCGCGCTAGTCAGCCGAGGCACGGCCACCGACCGGGCCTGTGCCACGCGACAATGTAGCCATCGCCAAGCAACCAGGGCAGCCAAGAATAACAGCTCATGCCGATACGAGGGTGCAGAATCCCGTCGATATGTGATCCAGAAATAACCGTACACGAAGTATTTAACACGAATGCCAGCAATTCAAAGTCTTTTGTCGGCGGCCAGTTAAGGGTATGGCGACAATGCCCAACATTCGCCACAGGGACATTGGATGCTGATGGCGCGGCTGGTCAGAGTGGCATCACTGTAGGGTCGGACAGCAGGAGCGCGGCCTACCAGCGCTCATGACTCACACAGCGGGCGGCCGCGTCAGCAGCGGTTGCGGCGGCCCGCAGCTGTCAGCCGTGGCCGCGCCGTGACAAACTGCCGCGGCGAAGCCCGAATCTGCTATTTCCAACGTGTATACTTTATAATCCTTGCAATGCATTAATTTGTCAAAACGCTCGCGTAATACATGCTACAAAGGTTTCAAAAATTTTATCCAGAGAAAAATATGCAAACATTTATATCATTCATAGGGCCTGTTATCCCGCAAATTCAACGAAGCGTTATATTATGACTTTGATTTCACGATTTTCTACACAGACGTTTATCACCGCAGCTCTCTTCTGAGCGCGCTCTGGCTTTGGGAAACGGAGTATCTCATGGTCTTTAGTGACGTACTGGTTCAAACTTCAGCTGAGACGCTTCTTGATAGTTGTGACCTTTGCCTCCCCTGTCCCATTCATGAATGTTTATTTGTATCACGTCATTCATACCAGTAGAGTTACAACTTTTAAGCCCGCTGCCCCGCAACGTGCGGGTTATGACAGCTCAAAAGTGGCATCTCTAATCCGCAACAACTGATAACGGCCTAAGCAGACTCTGTCGTCGTCCTGACAACGGCAATCGTAACAACTGCAGCTGTTGTGGACTCGGGCTCAACTCTGGGGCTACCAAGAAAGGAAGAAGTGTAGGGCTGTGAAGGAATGTTAACAGTGTCACTGCGTTAACTCAAACATAGAAAACTATCCATATCATATCTCGATGGTGCTGCAGTGGCACTACCCAGTGCTATCACTAGATGTAACTGAGCCTGAGGTTTCATTAGGGTATGTTTTTGAAATGCAACATAAAGGTGGGGGCACTCCATTTAACATCTGCTGAAGTTCAAGTGAGTTAACATTCATTTAAAAATTTTGCATTTCCCAAAACTAACTTCTGATATCTTGTTGCAGACACGTACACACTCCGTGCTCAGTTTTTGCAATGATGACAGGAGGCAAACAGTCAAAACTGCCACTCTGATTTGATAAAGCAAGTGCCCCCTGAAAACAGCACATCAGATGGAGAGTCACGTGGGGGAGAAGCATTTCTTTCCATCACTCCGCAACAGCCTGTCGCAACAACTTGTTGGCATGTAGACATTCGCCAGAAACTTTCCCTAGTGTCTCCCACAAGGAAGCCAGGGCTTATTCTGCACATGATAGGACATGTGAGAAAACGGAGACATGCTCCTGGAGACGCATGCTCCTAGAGTGGATGTGAGTCCGGAAGTAACTGATGCTGATGATCCTGAAGCAGCACTGTTGCCTTGGAGGCAGACAACAGCTCAGGCACATCCAGGATCAACTCCCCTAATTCCCACTTTATGGCCAAGGTCATCAGGAAAAAACAGCAAAACTCCCCTGTCATGATGGATGTGTGTGGTAGCATTGACCTGTAGCTGACTTAAGGGCATAGTTCCTATGAGTGTTGAGTTAGAATGAGTGTTCTTAACTCCAACAACACTATCACATTGCCTGGTCACAGGCCCTTTGATTCTTGACGTGCTACTGCCATGGCAGTTGACATGTGACCAGGACAGTGACATCCTGCTGGCTGGGATAAAATAGAAAGGTCTACTGCATTCTGGCTCAAAATGTAAACAAGAAATATATGATGATTGTAATGTGTATGTTTTACTTTGTTTGGTGTGAAAAACATGGCAGTGTACTCAGATCTCTTCCTTCAAAATTGGTGAGGTGAGGTGAGGTGAGGTGAGGTGAGGTGAGGTGAGGTGAGGTGAGGTGAGGTGAGGTGAGGTGAGGTGAGGTGAGGTGAGGTGCTTGGTGAGGTGCTTGGTGAGGCTTAAATGCAGCCAAATATGATTCTCACAAATGGAGGATACTTGCTTTGATGGCAAGCATGCACCACATATAATATTTAAGGAAAACTCTGAACTGTTGGCATATTTTTAAAAGACTTTCAATTCAGGGATACTTGAATGTATCAGGATTGAGCCTATCAAAATCCTGTGACCCTAATCCTGTGAAAAAAGCTGAGATTATCAACAATAATAATGATCTGCACTGCTGCCTGCACAATTATCTGCTTTCTCCTCCCACAGATGCACTTCTCTCCAAAAATCCAAGGTTTTCAGCATGTGTGAAGGCTGGCCTAGGCCTAAAAATTTCATTACATTTCAAGTAAGACATACTTGGCTGGGAAAATTGTGTGTAATCATACTTTTGAAGACTTTATTTCATGGAACCTAATGTCAACTTGCACAGTGTAAATGCTATAATTCCTTAAAACAAGTAAATGACATGGCAATCATTTAACTTAACATGCCAGTTGTCAACAGCAAATGTAGCAGCAGATTTTGTCAATGTAGCACTACCATGGCACACTGGATTACTAAAAAATGTGTTAATGTGCAGCAAAGTGTGATATATCTTGATGGATATATCTAACACCAAGTTGGGCAGCCCATGTACCACATGAGAACTTTTCAGTGATACTGCAGCAAAGAAAATGGCAATAAAACAATAATAAAAAATGTTTAATAAATACAACAAATAGGCATGAGCTAAGGGTAGATAAAATATGCCTATCAATTGCAATGAACTCTCTTTTATGGATAGCGGCTTGGATTCAACATCACAATATCATTACTTATGCAATAATTATTCCATACAATCAGGAGATGTGGATGAATTTTTAAAGCATGGGCCATGTATGTTCCTTAAGGACCAACATGAACAGAAAGTGGTATATTAGTAATTACCATCCAGTCTATATTTAACAACAGTAGTTACTTGCAAGTAGCCATCATATTACTGTTTTTCTCAGATAATAGGAAATACACTGAAACAATGAGAAAACATCTGATTTCACAGATGCAGGTTTGGGTATCTGTAGGGAACCAAATTTGTCTTCTATCCATCAAATATATCTATCTATCAAATTGTGGGTGTATATGTACTACACCACAAACATTCCAATCTATACCATAGCACAAAAATATATACAAGGTAATGTTCACAGCATGCCATGCTTTCTGTTCACAGCTTCCTAGCTTTCATGATAACTGTGCACACCATTCACTATAGCATACATATATGCATGTTACTTATGATAAAACCTCAGGTTACACTGTGTGTAGCATGTGACACAAAATTTTTGCCTGTTGTTGATGCATAACTTGACTTGGTTATAAATGTAACTGTTGCATCATATATGTCTCAATTTGGACAAGTAACAGATAAACTCTGCATGTCTTGTGAATGTTCTACATATGATGACACAAATTCTAAGGGGTCTGGGCCACTGCAAACACCAACAGGTGAAAATTCATGGGAGTATGGCACCATAAATGGTATTGACCAAATAGATGCTATCTGGGTCACTATGAACACCCCTACTCCCATTCACCTAGCAGCAAAAGAGCAATTCAATTCTGGCCAATCAGTAGTTGAGCAATTGATAACAAAATCACATCAAGATCCATTCATAAGGTTTAGCAGCCTAATCTGACTTTTTAAACATAGGTGAAAAACCTTCACCTTTTCATAGGCGCCACACATCAAAGTTCTTCTCAGTGTCACCAATTATAAGCATATGCTCATGTTTGGCATTATATAAAGCATATAAACTAGCGCAGATCGGGGAACTCACAAATATGCCAGCTAATTGGGTGCAGGGGTAATATTGACAGCAAAGACTGAGACACAAAGGTAGGTACATTCATGCTCAAGCATATAGTTTGTCTGAACACAGCGCAATCAACCTACCACAGCTGAAGCCGCAATGAGCACTCTTCTTAATAGAATAGTTTATATAAAATTATGTCTTAAAACCGTTCGTCCGCAGTTTCCTGCCATCACGCTCTCTGGGTCAGCCAAACATAACCAATCAACATCGAAGCGCAGAGTTGGTGACTGGTGCGTCACTATGTCAACAGCATTCTGCTATCAAATTACTTTTCGTCGATAAATGACCGCGCTTCATCACTTTATATTTTATAAAATGACAGCGACAGCTCGTTTCCATACCGTTGGTATGGAAACGATCTATCCGATAATAATATGCCTCGTAAGTTCCAGCGGCAGCGTAATATTTTGTGTTTTACAGGCTTGGGTGCCACAAAATGGAAGCGCATTTCCATCCACTATTCCGTCTCCGATACCCATTTCCGCATGCTGCACAAGCAGAAGATGAGCGGGCGACACCGGCGATTCCAGTATTTCTGGCTGGGACGTCCATAAATTGCGTTACGCATTGTTGACCACCTTAAACCTCCTGGTTACGCACTGGTGACAACTCTTGGTGAAAAGCCCTGATCTACACTATCGGTGGTGCATACGCTACGCTGCGTCAGTGTTGCATCCCAAAATTATGACGTGTCCCTTTGACCCTAATTGAGCTAGACGTGCCAGGAAAGGACAGACGCGTTCCTCGTTTCTCTAGAAGAATCTGGAGGGCTTAAGTGTTAAACCGTTTTAAAATGACTGGCAAAATTCGCAACCATAGCTGTGCGTAACGTTACGCTGGCCATCCCCACACCCATTTCATGCATTTCGGTCACGTTCCATCAAAAGCCGCCGCACCGCGCGTGACATAATATATGGACGGTCCCATGTGTTCTTTCCACTCAAAGGCAAATGTGACATGTTTTCCCCTTGAATTTCGCAGTGGGAAGGACGATAGCCCTCTCTGTACGTCCGTTTTGCAGTCTGGTTGGGCGACCCTAGTTATAATGGTTAAAGCCGAGTGGGGGCACAGAGCGTATTTCGCCTCCCCTTTAAATAAACCCTCGTCAGAGCTAGGTCAGACACAGTGAACAGCAAGACCCGTGCGACTTCCGAAAGCATGGAGAGCTCCTAATAAATACACAGCGTAGTCCTGCACGGCTCATCGCACCTCCTCCGCCGAGGCCGGCAGCACATGCTCACCTGAGGCCGACGGTCGCCAGGGCCGCGACTCGGGTCAGGTCAGCTCGGCACCGGTGCCGGGATCACCGCCGCGGCCCGCCAGCTCCGCGCAGAAGGAAAGGCCACGCTCGGGCCGTCGAACACCTGCGCCGCGCCCGGCGCGCAGCCGGGTATTTCGGGAAACTAGGCTTCGTGAGCGGGCGGCGGCGGCTGCCAAAATCCTCCCACCTCCCGACGTCAGCAGGTGGCGGGCATCTGCGGCGAGATGGCAGCAGCGACCGGCCCGGCCACGCGCTCGAGCACCGGCACCAGTATCTGCTGAGCCGGCCGGCCGCCGGCGTCGACGACTCGAGCCCCGGCACAGGTATCTGCTGAGCCGGCCAGCCGCCGGCGTCGACTCGAGCCCCGGCGCCAGTATCTGCTGAGCCGGCCGGCCGCCGGCGTCGACGACTCGAGCCCCGGCACAGGTATCTGCTGAGCCGGCCAGCCGCCGGCGTCGACTCGAGCCCCGGCGTCAGTATCTGCTGAGCCGGCCGGCCGCCGGGGTCGACTCGAACCCCGGCACCGGTATCTGCTGAGCCAGTCAGCCGCCGGCGTGGATGAATCGAGCTCCGGCACCAGTATCTGCTGAGCCGGCCAGCCGCCGGCGTTGATGAATCGAGCTCCGGCACCAGTATCTGCTGAGCCGGCCAGCCGCCGGCGTCGACTCGAGCCCCGGCGCCAGTATCTGCTGAGCCGGCCAGCCGCCGGCGTCGACTCGAGCCCCGGCGCCAGTATCTGCTGAGCCGGCCAGCCGCCGGCGTCGACCTCGAGCCCCCAGGCGCCATATCTGCTGAGCCGGCCAGCCAGCCGGCTCGACTCGAGCCCCGGCGCCAGTATCTTCTGCTGAGCCGCCCATCCCCCCCCCGCCGGCGTCGACTCGAGCCCCGGCTCCATATCTCTGCTGAGCCGGCCAGGCCGCCGTCGTCGACTCGAGCTCCCGGCGCCAGACTGCCGAGCCGGCCACCGCCGGCGTCGACTCAAGCCCCGGCGCCAATATCTGCTGATGCGGCCGGCCAGCCGGCGTCCGACTCGAGCTCCTGCACCAGTATCCTGTCTGAGGGCCGGCCCATCCGCCGCGTCGACTCCGAGCACCGCCCGGCGCCAGTATCTGCTGAGCCGGCCGTCCCGCCGGCGTCCGACTCAAGCCCCGGCGCCAGTTATCTGCTGAGCCGGGCCGGCGCCGGCGTCGACTCAGCCCCGGCGCAGATCTGCTGAGCCGGCCAGCCGCCGGCGTCGACTCGAGCTCCGGCACCAGTATCTGCTGAGCCGGCCAGCCGCCGGCGTCGACTCGAGCCCCGGCGCCAGTATCTGCTGAGCCGGCCAGCCGCCGGCGTCGATGACCCACCAGTACATGGGCGCACGCTGGCCAACTGTTTGCTGATTGATTCTCAGAGAACGAATTGGTGAGACTCACTGTTGTGTCGGGTTTAGATTCAATTTCGAGCCGCATCATGTTTAGCTGGCACGATGGATAGGTTAAGATGGTCTTTAATTTCGGGTTGAGGCACATGGCGAATGCATGCAATGACAAGCTGCCACAAAGTGCTCGCAGACGACATTCATCTATGATCATTCGCTGCCTGCATTTCGGGATGCAGTGTGCTGAAATGCTTTCTTCGGCGCTACTTTATTTTACCACTTCCTTTCTCACCGCGATCATTTTTCTTCTGATGAAAAAATGCCTGCATACACGACTAGAACGGACGAACTCCAGTGCCTGCAACGTTCGTGTCAGACACACTCAAAGGCCGTTTGAGGCGGACACATGATCCGACGCAAAATAACAACAAACAACAAACGAGCCAGTTCGCGGTACAGCTTGGCTGAATCCAGAAGTAAACTGGTATGATTCGATAAACCAATATGCCATTCAACAAAGCCACGCTATATTTCAAAACTTAAATAGAGTGACCAAAAGGCAAACTATAAAATCGACCTGGCAACAGATGAGCATGCTTCGACTAATTAAAGTGTAAGCCATTTTAAACACGTGGAAGACATTGATCATGTTTGCTGACTTGTTGATAGTCCAAACACTTGCCTTCCTCGAGAACCCAATTTTCATACAAAAGTGCAGTGCCAGAGCGTCCAGTCCAGGTAAAGTGACACCAGCTAAACCGAGCCGTCCAATCACGGCCAGCCCCGGCAACAATCGTCACACTCTTTGGACCGGTCGAACCCGTCGATTCCGATATCACTTCTCATCCCGTGGATCAAGGGATTGTAAGCGCGCACCTGAGCCTTGGACGGTTCGAGACCAGAACCAGGGGCGTCACATAAAATTATCTGGGGAGGGGGGGGGGGGGAGCCCCGAGCGAAGATGGGCAAACATCCGAAGGTCATGATATAACGACCTCGAAATTGAATACAAGTGAGGCCACGAACAGTGCCTACCTACCCTGTGAATTTAAAATCTTCTTAAGTTATGAGAACTCATGGAATAAAAAATAGCGTGTAACCCCGTCCTCTAACCCCCAAATTACTCACCCATCCCAGCTGCCTTATATATTGATAAACAGAGACGTACACACGCCTTAAAGTGGAAGGGGAGGGGGCACACGACGATAAAATGAAAACCACGTTAAGCGCATGCACGCGATTTCTCGCATGTCGTTTGACAGCATCACATGATCTCGATCTTATACCTTTACTTATCTACCTGAACTTTTCAACTGTCAACATTTAGTCGCGTACATATCAATGCATGCTATACATTTGGTAACAGGGGGAGGGGCTTCTACGTGCAGACCACCCTGCTTTCAATCCGAGAATGTTTTACGCAAGCGGTGAACGGAAATCGGCGTTCCGTGTAATCGATCCCTCGACAAAGGAGGAATATTTTGGCACGACAACGCCAACACGGATGGAGACCAGAGGAGGTACGCACCGATCTCCGCACGTGTGGTATGTGGACTGCCTTCTTAGTAAGATGGTGACAATGGGCTTGCAGCACAGTTTAGCAGTATATCTCCACCACGTTTCCACCTGATTTAACTACCGCCCTTCACTATCACATTGTCACGTCTTTTTTCGGCCTAACTCCACGACCACACGAAAGGCGTCCGTCCCGCTTATCGCACGGGCACTTTGAAAGTTTCTCTAGGCATCCAAACAGCATCAGCATAATCCAGTGATTCGCGCTGGGTCCGTCCTCTTCAGCGTACTTGCGAACGATCTGAATCTTTTCGCGGAGGACGCTGTGGTGGTCCAGTACGCGAATGATACCCAGATTTTAATAAGCGGCCCCAAATCTCGATAAAATAAGACTATCGCTCGTTTTGAGTATCTCTTGGCCTTACTTCACGCTTGGTAAATATTCACAGGCCTGTAAGTCAATACCGATAAAACGCAGTTGGTGTTACTTGGAAGCCAACGAAATCTCCGCACCGTCCCCACTCCACTGTCAAATTTCGCAATCATCGTCTCGTCTCCCGTCTGGAAGCAAAACAATTCAGACTTGTCTTTGACCGTAACTTTTGTCGCAATTCCCACGTTTCGCACGCCAGTAAACGCTGTTTCGGTACTTTAACTTGCCTATCACATCTGGAGCACAGCCTGCCTGCCAGTGTCTTGATCACCCAGGTGAACGCCTCGATTCTGCTAGCTGTGAAACTCATTTTCAGACGCAAAAAGCGTGGCCAGGTGTCGGACCGTATCAGAGGCTTGGCTGGCTCTCCGTTGCAGATCTATGCAGGCATCACACCATATCACTCATCCACAAGGTCCTCCATTCGGGTGAGTCTGACTCACCTGCTCGCATGCTCCGCACTGTGGGTGGAGTGCACGGTCGACCAAGGAACAGGGCAGCGATCTGTTCATGCCTCGTTCGCGTATTGAGGCGGGAAAACGACGCTTTTCTCTCCGCGCAACCAAGACGGATAACAAACTCTCAGATTACCTTCAGCAGCTCCCAACTGTCCCTTTCCCCAAGACATCTGACGTGATATTTCGTGGGGCATCTGAAGATGTAATGATCTGTTATACGTGTTATATGACCTGTAATGTGTGGCGGAGTCGTGAATGGTGTGCCTGTGCATGTGTTTCAGTGCGTTTACTTTCGAAAGCACGTCCTATTTCTCATGACCTTTTTGCCGCCCATTTATTTGGTGACGATGGAAAGTACAGGCCTGGAGTATATTCAGCGTTACCCGCATGCTCAACTACTGCAAAATGGGGTCGAGGAATGGAACCGCCACATTTTGCACGTTGCGTTCCACAGTGAAATCAATACTAGCGCGGCGTTAATTGATTGTTTTGCGAAGTGGCATGACCATGAAAGTAATTTCGAAACGTCGAATTCTAATGTAACCTTGGCTTAGCTGATAACATCGGTTAACCATCACCTCCTCGCCGACTCAAAGTCTATTATTTTCAGCGAACACCCAGCTTAAAATGTCGAAATATCGTGACGGCAGGGCTTTCTTGCTTACATCAACTCCAACTTCATGTTAAGCGATGGGCGCGCTATGTATTACGACCGTCATCCCTGTGACCCGCCCGGTCACCAGTCGTCTTTACTGGGAT